AAGATCTCTGACTTTGGTATCTGAGCACAGTTGTTTTGTTTTTTTTGTTGTTGTTTCCAACTTTTTTCAGCTATTGATTTTTTTCATTATTTTAAGTTAACAACTTGCATTTTGATTTTATTTGAATGCCGCGACTCAAACCCTTGATAGCATGCGAGAAGGTTACGCTGTCTGCGTGATAAAAGCCGTCTTTTCCTGTAACTTTACTGTCATTGAATGGCTTTTTCTCAGAGCCTTGACAGCTGTATGCTTTCAGATTCACACCTGAGAGTAAACTCTGCTTGCGTCTTCAGGAGGAACGGCTTCCAGACAGAAGGGCTTCCTGGGCTGCATTCGCTCGCTGAAGCTGAACGGGAAGACTCTGGATCTGGAGGAGCGGGCGGAGATCACACCCGGAGTGACGCCCGGGTGTCCCGGACACTGCAGCAGCTACGGCGGCCTGTGCCAGAATCACGGCAGCTGTGTGGAGGATCACAGTGGCTTCACCTGCGACTGCAGCCTCTCGCCCTTCACCGGCACCTTCTGCCATAAAGGTACCGAATCTCAAGAGGTTCAAGGTGGTTTTTACTCCAATAGTAGGGCTGGGCAATGCATTGATATCAGGATTTATCAAAGAGTTAACATAAATCAACTTTCTAATTTCCGCGTGCTGTAACCTGTATCCTTTCATATCGAAGCGCGAAATAAACTACGTGCATGCAATGCTGTGGTCAGTTAAGGCATGAAGTTACCAAAAAAGCGATTAAGGCTGCCTTAAAACTGTGCATGCATGTAATATATATTATGAGTCACATTTAAGAATATGTCTCTGAAATGGTTTTCAAAACTGTTCTGGAGAAGCCGATTTAACTCGTCAGCTCATTAATAGAGACTTTAAGACCTGAAGTGGGTCAGAAAAGGTAAAAGCAGTTGAAAGAAAATATGATAATTGTCAGACCTGCGTCACGTTCACCAGCGGCAGCTCTTAAAGAAATAACAGCCGAAACAACCTAACAACCAGCTGCTGTGATCTGTTAATCAAAGGACACAGAAAAAAGAGGAAAAAATTGCTTTTATAGTTTTAAGAATTCATCTATATTTAATTTAGAATTTA